TTTCTATAAAGAAGAGCGGGGAAGAAAAAATAATTTCCAGTACCAAAGATTGCAGGGTGTTTACAGAGAGGAATGGCGATCATGTGATCATATTGACTTACTACACCGGTGCTGTTATCGACGCGGTGTCCATGGCAGTGTCTGACCATGTCTATATCATATACAAGGGGAGGCAATCGATTTGAGCACGAGTTACGCCCTTACTTCTTTAGCTGATTGGGACGGAAGTACTGTTTTGGGTACAGCTACACTAATTTGAGTGTTTAAAGTAGTGTCACTATTCATGTTTAGTAAACTAAAAAGGTAAATACAAGTGGGGATATTTCATCTGTGTAGTACATTATGATGTTGATGATCTCTACTGTCTATAGACAAGTTATTCTCCATTATGTTCGGATATAGGAAAATACATATTTTCCTTACAGATTTTGATAAAAAATATACTTTCGAGCTGTTTGTTATCAAGATTACTAAGGTCAAACCCACATATCTGTTAGTTGGCGGTATTTCCATAATTGAATCCATTTCATAATTAGAATGTATTTTTCAGGGTGGATGGTGCAAATGACTTAACCCAACACTACAAACCTCACAGAAAATTAAAAATAGCAGCGCGATCATTACTTAATAACCTTTAATTAAATGGAAAGCTGAAAATAAAATATTCAATAAGCTAAACACCGCAAACAGAATCTAGAGACCAAAATGATTACATACAATATTGATGCACAAAGCCGGATTAGGACTGGCAGCCAAGAGCGTGCGTTACTTTCTGTTTTTGTTCCCACTCAAGATTAACCCCCGCAGAACGTCAGGATGAAGGGAAAAAAGATTTTGTAGATTAGATTTTAAATGGAGTCTGGGGATGGAAAGAACAATGGAGCCATAGAAAAATGTAGAGCCTCTTTCTAGGTTTTACTTTAATTAGTTTTTCAAAGTCTGGACAATCATTTACTTAGTGGGAGAAACCGGAATTTTGTTGGGGTTTTTTTCTGTATCATAGAGCTAGAATGGACAATAGATGCAGGACAATTGTTTATATTGTTTATGTGTATACAATGAACGGTTGTATTAAAGTTTTTTTGACAGGGTTGATTTTTGTTTTTTGTTGCTGTTTTTTTTTTTTTGCGCTATTTTTTTTCTGTGTCATGGAGCTTGAATAGGATAATAGATACAGGACAATTTTGTACGTATAATCATTTTTTTATAAACTGTTTATGTGTATACAATGAACGTTTATATTAATGGTTTAATGGTAAAGGGTTGGTTTTTTTTCTGGGTTTTTTTTTGTCTCATAGAGCTTGAAATGGACAATAGATACTGGACATTTATACGCAGAAGCTTATTTTATAAATTGTTTAGTGTATATGAACGGTTGTATTAAAGGTTTTATGGTAAGTGGGTTTTGCACTGTACTTGTCTTCGGATAACTTTCGCTTTAAAACAGTATTGAGTCCCAGAATGGGTGCTTTAGGTATAAAACTTTATCAAAGTGAGAGTTAATCGAATGGCCCACAATACAAGGCTGGTGGCGACAACTGTTTTGATAATCAGAAAGTTATAAAATAACGTTTATAATCACATGCAATGACGAATATGCTAAAATATATCTGCGTTTAATTAAGGCTGGCTATATCAGTTACCGAAACTACTCGAATCGAACGAGATTTGGCAACAAGATTTGCGAGTTTTGAGAAATGTACTGCCGAAGACTAATGTGAATAGAGAACGGACAACATGACACTAAGCATTTGAAACTGCAGATAACAAATTTACTTTATGTACAACGGGAAAAAAAAATTAGACTTGGCTATGTATGGGTTCTACATTGAATCTATTAAAAATGTATGTTTATAAAATGTCAAGTAATACTTAGTCCAAAAACAAGTTCGTGAGTAGACTAGGGAAAAATGTCGAAACCTTAATCGTGACAGATAACCTTTAGGTCTAGACACAACGGGGAAATACACAAGTTATGGGGATTTACAGCTCCACCCCTAGGGGGAAGAGGGGGCGTGGTCAACTGTAATATTCAACACCAGTTCTCTATGACCCATGCTTGACCTTAATTACGTAGCACATAAATAATGTCATTATACATGAGCATACTAAATCAGTGATTCTCAGGGTGGTGGCACGAACTCACCAAATCAGTGATTCTCAGGGTGGTGACACCATGATCAGAAATAGGTCAACACAAAGCTACTGCTATAACTATGCAAATAGTCATGGGCCAATACTGGTTCATAATAAAATACTTTAAATACGTGCTGGGTCCCTAGAGTACAAGTTTTGAGAAGCACCGTATCAGAGTATATTTTACCGCTACAGATTTATCAAACCAACAAAAGGCTTGCGACTGCGCGTTCGACTGCTATTAACCAAACCTGTTTCCAGACGTCTATAAATTGATTAATGAATTCAAAACAAACAAAAAATAATATCCATAGCAATATCTAACAAGAAAAAACTATTGTTCTCATGTCTGGACGAGCCGGCTCCATTAACAGGTCACAACCTTTAACAAACGCAAAAAAACCAGGTTGACCTAAGTCCGAACGGTTCTAGAACTGGCCAACTGGTAACAAACACAACAGGGGTCAGAATTTTGGAAAGGGGCATAATCTGTGTGATGAAAGACACATGAAGTAGATTCGAGGAGGCTGAGCAGTCAATGATGAGGAACTTTGAAAGGAGTACAGGCTTAGAAAATCGGCCGGGACCAACTAGCCAGTGTCTTCTAGCGAAAACTTCAGTACACCTGTTTACATGCTATTTGTAGAAACATAAGTTGGGACAAACTAGCCAGTGTCTTTTAGCTAAAACTTTAGTACACCTGTTTACATGCGAACCAATAAAACATTTTAGTTTGACAACTGAGTGCACGGACGCCGAGAACAAAAGTGTTATTTTGAGGAAGGCTCTCTGCAAACGTCCACTAAACCGAACAATAACAAAAAAAAACTCCAGATGTGCCTTTTATCATTCAAATTAAACAAATTGTTAAAAATAAAATAAAATTACCATAACAATTTGTCCACGTGAGCAACACATGTAATAAATTTACACAATTTTTTTTTCATCGAAAGCGGTTCTTGACAACAAAATGCTCTTCAGCCCATCTCCCATTTGATGATGTCTCGGGCATTCATTATTACACTCATTATTTTCTTTATCAATTTTCCATACCCCCATCCGTCCTCGTCTCTGAGACAACGTTCGATTTTACTGCGTCTCTTTTGTCATCCGTGCCGAGACGACGAGAGGGGGGAAAAAACCTAAGCTTAGACCGCTGACAGCCGAGTGAATAATTAATGAAAAAGTGGCCAGGAGACAGGTGGCCCCCCGTGGTGAGGAGACAGGTGGCCCCTAAGTTACAGACACGGCTGGGTCATCAAACATTAAATAGAGGAATTTGCAACTAATGAATTTAAAGCATATTTTGGACAAGCCAAGGGCCATTTTGTTTAATAATACAAATAACAGAGTTGAATTGCTGGGGCGCTTCCTATGCTGCATTAAAGATGGGGGTGAGCTCATCAAAGGCCACAAAGAGATACAACAGATTTTCTGCAATTGTTCCGGCTTCTTTTTGTGCTGAAGTTAGTGGCTGCGTGTTTTGTTTTTTTTTAAGTTTGCTCTTTTTTTGTGAGCTTGCTTGACCGGATTGTTTCCCCTTTTGGAGAGCTTGTTTGTATGGTGAAAGCTTTCCCTTCTTGGGAGGGGGGGGGGGGGGTATGGCCAAAGTATTCCCTTCCTTGGGGGGGGGAGGGGAGGAGAGGCTTGTGTGGCCAGTTTTTTGCTTTTTTTTATTTTAGGAGGGGGGTGAGGGGGATTGTATGTTCATGGTTTTCGCTTCTCTGGGAGGGGGGCTTGTATGGCCAAGGTTTTTGCTTCTCTGGGGGGGGGGGGGGAGGGCTTGCATGGCCAAGGTTTTTGCTCCTTTGAGGGGGGGGGCTTGTATGGCCAGCGTTTTCCCTTCTTTAAAGTAATTGTATCGCCAAAGTTTTCCCTTCTCCGGGGGGCTTGTATGACATAGGTTTCCCTTCTGTGAAGAATTCGCACAACCAAAGATGTTTTACCCATCTTCGGTGAGCTTCCATATGGAAGTTTGCTATTTTCCAGGCCAACAAAATCTACTTCGGTCCACATCTTTTTTTTAAATTACCTTTTGTCAATGTTAAACGTATTTTGTATTTTCCGTGTATTGGAAACAGGTAGAGACATGACGTCCCTCCATCGCCCCACCCCTGTAACAGAAAATAGCCCCGCCCCTAGACACCATAGCACTAGACTTACACGTTTTTCATTAGGCGTATAAAAAAACAAAAATCAGCATTTTTTTTCTTGAGTGTTCTCAAACGGTGGTTCGTAACCTTGAAAGTCCAGAGCAGATATCGCGAATTAAACTTCCCTGGGTGGTTTTTTTTACAAGTGGGGGCAAGGGTCACAGCGCTTGGCGATGCGCGGAATAACATCACAACTCAACTCTTCAGCTAACCCCCGGCTTTTTCCCCCAGATAAGAATACAATCAAAATAATACTCCCCTGTCATTTGTAACACGCGCAATCAGCGAACAATGAGACACGCCCATGATAGTGAATGGTCGCCCTCCCCCCCCCCCCCCTACCTCCAACCCCGGGTTAAGAACTAGTTATTGTTTCACGCAAGCATCTGTTCCCGCCAGCGTGTCAGCCATTATCTACCACGGACTTCTTTCATCATCGCCGGATAAACTGCGCGTCTGGGACCAAACGTCTAAAATGTTCGAAAGCGGCAGCACTTTGAGAAAACGCAAATTAACACAAAATAACTCAGCAAAAAGGAATCAATACAATTCCCCGGCAAAGTCTGCGGGTTCGACAACTCTGACTGTCTTACGGAGGGGAAAAACCTGCACCACGAGACGCCGAGGGATGAGACAGTCGTGGCGTGACCGACGAGAGAGCAGAAGAGAGAAGAATCAATGTAATGATGCTATGGAGTGGGGGGAACTTACCTATATTAGGATGCTTCAAGAGCCTGCATATCCGTGCCTCCCGTTCCAATTTTTGATGGTCTGAAACGATAAATTTAATTTTTATGCAACATTGACAAAATTCTTTTAAATTTAATACATTATTTTTTTAAAACACGAAAACACGTACGCCTACATTGTTTATATAATACAATAAATACTTCAAAATGTGAAGGATTTTTTTAAAATATATATGTAATTGGTAAAATAACACATAATTGTGTGTACAAGATAATGGCAATGATAATCATGTATTTAGAGAAAACATGTCATATCGACAGAAAGGCTTTAGACCGAGAACAGAATAAAAAGACCAATTATGTGTATTATAGACTCTTTCAAATATTGCTGAAACTTAGCGCTTCCCCAGTCCCCGCGTGAAGTGGATGCGGTTGTATAAAATATAAATCACACAAATGTATGACAGGTAGGCCTACAGTAGGAAAGGTATACAGTTTTTATTGTGTGTTGCTCGCTCGTGTTCATTTCATTTCACGAGCTGCCTGTCGATTTTCTGGAAAAAAATTGAGTGTCGCGTGTAGAAAAGGCTTAACGATGGGGGAAGAGGGGTAGTTATTGAACGGAGCTTGGGTTATTACTAGTAATAATTGCTACAAAACGTCAGCGCTCTTCATTAGACGCACTCGGATTTTGAAAAAGCTTAGATACCACGTGAAGCTTTCAATTCCAGAAAAATTGTTTGTGACGGGTGCTCTGAACTCGTTCATTTGAGTATTACTTCATTTTACTGTAACTCTCAAATTTGCTACGGGCATTGTTGGAATCATATCTGGTGAATGTTACGCTATTTAATGTGCCGTTACGGCGCTAGATTCTGTTTATACGCCGGCCAGGCAGTAACGCATACATTATAAATGCGGCGTACACGTGACTTGGTCGCACGGCGGCCCCAATATCGAATTTAAGCCGCTAACCGTAAGCGATAACACATCGGTAGGTCAGGGTCATCGCTTGTGTCGTGTTGTTGATTTACTCTTGACTTGTGTGGGACAGTGAGTGATCCCCAGCCAATCGACCGACGCCATCATACACATAGTAGCTGTATTCCTTCAATCATATAAACCAGGGGTCTCCAAACTTTTCAGTCCGAGGGCCGCATTAACTATCAAATTTTAGTTCGGGGGCCAGTTAGTTCCAGGCATGTCTTTGATTTTTCTGGGCGAAGTTCCTCAGCCATCACCGACAAACTGTTTTTCCGTGGACAAAAAGATTTCCGCGGGCCGGATGAGAGGACATCGCGGGCCGCAGTTTGGAGACCCCTGATATAAACAGTTGTTTTAATCAAGGTCTTCGTGCCATCAACCATAGAAACAGACGCTTTATTCATGGTCTTCACACCATCAGTCATATAAACAGTCGCTTTATTCATGGCCTTCGCGTCATAAATCACACAAACAGTCGCTTTATCCATGGTCTTCGCACCATCAATTACATAAACAGTAGCTTTATTCATGCACTTCGCACCATCAATCATATAAACAGTCGCTTTTTTATGGTCTTCGCACCAACAGCCAATATAAACAGCGGCTGTATTCATGCTCTCAAACCAAATACACAAAAGCGAAAGTATTCATGCTGGTGTTAAACACATACTGGTGATTTAGAGCCCCCCCCCCCTCTCAACCCTCCTCCAGAAAAAGACCGTATACTTAGTTTTCTGGCAAAGGGTATGTCGTTAGACCATTTTTCATGGTCGGAAATCTTCACAGCTCGGCAGCAACTCTAAGACTAAGTAAAGCTCCCTTTTCGAACAAGTCGGTCCATGGGGCAAGTGGAGTAGAGTTCACCTGTTTCTTTTACCTCGGCATATAAAGAGATAGATTGGTCAGCACTATGTCCAGCCGCCTTTAGTTTCCTAACGGGGGTGAGCCATCAGATCTGGATGGACCTAGGGACCTTACTATAATAAGACTGTAGACTAAATTTAAAAGTTACAACACAGCACTCCTCGAAACGTAAATCTTTACTGCAAGACAGACCAAACGCATGTGGTACAAGAACCTGACCCAAACTTTATTAGACGACTTAATCGTGTGGGTTTCAACTGAAACAGCGGATACATGGGCTTTTGGTGCTTCTATCATAACCGGTAGGGAAGATGTGTTTTGAGTTAAGGTTAGGCCCAGGGTAGTGACACCAACAGATTTTTTTTATAAACTTCGATTCAGCACCATACGATAATTTAAGAATACTGCGTTTGCTACTCAAAATGTACACAACACCAAAAAGAAAAAGGAACACTATCTACGGATGAGTAGCGTAGTTTGCTAATTACGATGTTCACGTCATACAATAATACAGAGCGTCTATACGAAGGGGAGCACTAGCGACATCAAGTACTTTTAGTTAACATCAACACAGACAGCCGAGACAGTCACGAAACAAAACAAACGTCAATCGTGAAGGGGGAGAGTAGCTCTACGTCTTGTGTTTATCATAGATTAACCTTGTAACCAACGCCCGCACCGCGGCGCGCAAATCCCGCGCATGCGTGTAGTTATTATAACTCTTCCTTAGGTAAAGTTTCCATTTAAATAGTTGGGCTATAGAGTATAGATTGCAATGACTGTATATTACGGCATGAGGGTACAGGGGAGAGGGAGGAGATACATGTGAGTTAAAATAATGGATATCTAAAGTACAAAACTTCAACCGGGCCAAAAGAAAGTTATGTCTTTAAGAGGAAGATACTGGCAAAAGTATAGAAAAATCCACGGTATTCTGTGCGTAATAACCACATCAACTGTTTTGATTATTGAATATAAGCGGAATTTCTTTCAGTGGATGGAGGGTGGAGGTGAGGCACAACCACATCCACCGCCCCGAGCCAAATAGAAAAAGATATATTTTTATATAGAAAGTATATACTTCAACCAGTGTCTACCCCTCCCTCACAACCGTAAGTTTTAAGTGCCCCCCCCCCCCCCCCCGAGATAAACGTCTTAAAGAAACACTGAACATGATAAAGTTCTTGCAAGTTTTATTGAATCATGCGATTCAATAAATTATGTACTGAACAAAATCATAGTGGCAGTGACGTTCGGTTAGGCATAGCATACTGATTTCCCCTTAATAAATGTAATAGAAGAAATCCTAGGACTAATACGTTCTAATTAAGTGGTTTGGTTTAGCTAAGCTAATAATACCAAAATATCACGGAAAATCTCGAATAAACGAAGGTTTGATTAGCAAAATAAACGAAGATTGTATTAGCTAAATAAACGTAGTCTGTAATTAAATTAACGTAAACGTATTAGTAAAATAAACTCTAGTTTTTATCTGTGAAATAAATGTAGTTCTCTATGTTCACTGTCAGAACTAAGTTTATAGCAATCAAATAACCGTAGATTACAGAGGATAAAGAAACTTTACGTCAATCAAATAACCGTTTAGGGTATATAAGATACAGAAACTTTATATTAATCAAATAAACGTAGACTGTCGAGGTTCACTAAACGTAGACTGTAGAGGTTCACTAAACCTAGACTATAGAGGTTCACTAAACCTAGGCTATAGAGGTTCACTAAACCTAGACTGTCGAGGTTCACTAAACGTAGTCTGTAGAGGTTCACTAAACCTAGACTATAGAGGTTCACTAAACCTAGACTGTCAAGGTTCACTAAACCTAGACTGTCGAGGTTCACTAAACCTAAACTGTAGAGCTTCACTAAACCTAAACTGTAGAGCTTCACTAAACATAGACTGCAGAGTTTCACTAAACCTAGACTGTAGAGGTTCACTAAACCTAGACTGTCGAGGTTCACTAAACCTAGACTGTAGAGGTTCACTAAACCTAGACTGTAGAGGTTCACTAAACCTAGACTATAGAGGTTCACTAAACCTAGACTGTCGAGGTTCACTAAACGTAGTCTGTAGAGGTTCACTAAACCTAGACTATAGAGGTTCACTAAACCTAGACTGTCAAGGTTCACTAAACCTAGACTGTCGAGGTTCACTAAACCTAAACTGTAGAGCTTCACTAAACCTAAACTGTAGAGCTTCACTAAACATAGACTGCAGAGTTTCACTAAACCTAGACTGTAGAGGTTCACTAAACCTAGACTGTCGAGGTTCACTAAACCTAGACTGTAGAGGTTCACTAAACCTAGACTGTAGAGGTTCACTAAACCTAGACTGTCGAGGTTCACTAAACGTAGACTGTAGAGGTTCACTAAACGTAGTTGCATCAGTTTTTAAATAACGTCTGCACCAACAAACAACAAGGTTAATAAAGAAATATATGCGCCAGTGAGAGGAACAGCGGGTGACATATACAGTGTGAACGTTGACCTAGTTTAAACGAGTTTACCTACATGAAGAGATTAATAATATCTCAAAACAGTATGTGTGGAATTAATAAACAATGATACATACAAGTTTTTGTTAAGTTGTATACAGTATATATAAACATTAACACTATACTTAGAATTGTTTGTTTACGTTAAAGTTTAAAATAACCACGAAAACAAAACTAAATGCCACCAATGAGATGGTAGCTTTTAAACTACACCCTACAGTCGTGTTGGTATACTTAATTAGGGGCTATAGAAAGATTGCACAAATCATACATATATATCCTCTTTATAAGATCTAGCTATCTATTTCCCAGATGAAGTAGAGCTCATATGTTTCTTGACCCTCGGCATTTGAAAGGATAGTGTGGTCAGCACAATGCCTAACCGCGTCTGTTTTCCCTAACGTGAACTAGGTACCCATCAGAGCTGGGGGGACTCAAGGAAGTTCCACTGACTTGAACCCGGATTCGAACTCGAGACTTTCGAGTTATCAGCATAGCGCGCTACAGCTAGACCACGCTGTCCGATCTAATCTGCATCATATAAAATTATTTTTATGCTAACTAAACACTGTTATATTGAGAGAAAAAAAAGTTAAATGTTCGACTGTAACCGCACTAAACAAATTTCTATACATAGACTAAAAAACTGTTTATTGAAGAAACATTCATTAAAAAAATAATACATTGGACGAGATGGCGGCTAACTAATCCGGTTCTCAGATCT